ATTGTAAATTTCTTACTTGCGTTTTACGTATTCCATAATTTTATATATATCCAATTATGTGCTTCTACTATACGAGGAACCCGATATTTTACATTATCGGGGGGGGGGGGGGGGGGGACGAAGGTATTCGAGTTCTGCGTGTTTGCGAAACAGCTGCAGCATACCTGTTAAGTATTAGACTTATGTTTTCAATTTGATCGGCAGTGAGATTAATACCATCCCTTTTAAGTCGAACTGTATACTAGCATACCCTTCACTGATGCAATTTGTTTCCCTTTTTCATGATGAGTACGCTTAGAAACACATCTGGCATTCTGGTCAACAACATACGGTAGGAATCAAGGTAGGCCGGGGTAAGATACGCTCTCTCTCTCTGGTATGTCACCCATTTTTACATTGGAAAATGATGTCCGTACGTAAAATCCATTCTTTTACCATCTGCTAAAGACGGGTTCAAACTCTTTGATAATGTACCCTTCTCTTTTTCCTTTTAGAAGTTATCCAATTCAAGTACTCCCTAACTTCCAGTTCGATGGTACGTTTACTCCATTTTTTTTCTCCATCGATTGGTTGCTCAAACACAAGCTTACTATTCGTACAGAAACACCTTTATACAGTAGCCTCAGTAAGTATAGGCGCATTCTTGAGGTCACTATCTAAATGCCACTGCTATTCCCTATATAAAGTGCAGGTTTTGTTAACATATTCTTTACGAGTTGTAACTACATGACAGCCTCCATTCTTGAAATGAAGGTTTTCTGTTTAAAGTGTTTAGTATATATAAAGTTATTGTTCGCGTATCCTGCCGTGGTTATTGACGGATGCAATTTCAACAGTCATCTGCGTATAAGTTCAGTTTTGCTTTCGATAGTATTTTGTCTCTCACTTTCTATTGATAATGAGACCCTCCATGCGAAGACTCTGAACAGTTGCGCACTCTACATTTGCATTTTGGAACCCACTTCTTCTTGGTCTGGCACAAGTTTTCGCCATTTGTCACCACCATTGGTACTCATATCAACCGATGGTATAGTCTTCTCTGATCGCTGATCACTGGTCACTGAAATTACATCGATTACCTCATTTAACCAACTACATCACAGACTATCAATATTAAGCTGACGCCGTATACGATTAGCCCAGCTGCACGAGTGTTACTTTGATTTTGGGTTGTTTTCTCACGCAGCAACCAGATCGAAGATAAGTATCTGACCTTTCCTGACAACCATCATCATTCACTTCATCAATGACATGGTATGGAAGAAGCCACTTTTGATTACAACTACTACAAAATCTAATAACTATTTCCAAGAATTAGACCTATAGCATTTAGCGCGGCTCAAGTTACAACTCGATCGTGTGTCTATTTAAAAGATGTAACCAAGTACACACGTACATATGTAAACAACACATCAAGTTCGTTTCACTGCATATGTATTTGTTATAGGAGATATGAGATACGGGTCAAGAAAAACTCGAGTTGTTCGGTACCATCCAAGGGTAGGGTTAAAATTCAGTGGGGTTTATCATAGTGTTCTAAAAAGAAGAGGTTTGTACCAATTTCACCTTATGTACAGTATGCACAATATTCGGATATTGATATTGGGTTGTTTCGGGTTGGTTTGTTTCCTATTTATACATATACTGTAAGAGTTTCGGGATTCGTATTAAATTTTCGAACTCTTCGGTACCTTGAATTTTGTAGGGTTCCGAATGATGAGGTATACTTCCGGAACTTTGGATTGGGTTTTAATTCCAGGACCCAACCAGAATTTTTGTAAATAACCGGCCCCTGATGATTTTAATAGCGTAGTTTTGCATGAGTCATACTTAGAGTGTTCATGTATGACACAAGGTATACATAGACGATTAAATCATGAGAAAGCTCGAAAACATCATAGCAGATAATTTTCTAGATTCGTACCTTTCCTTCTCACTACGAGTGATATAGTTATTTGATAACTTATGATACCAGCAGTACGAGTTTGTTCGGGAATAGTCAGAGATAGATTCCGGCGGTCAATAAAAGCAGTTTGAGTCCAGTGTTAAAGTTTGGACTTTCACTAGAACTTTGAGGGACACAAAGACAATAATGACTAGCGACTGCTTTTGTTTATCGTGAACCTTTGAGGTAAAGCTACTGATACCGAAAATGTAAATTATTTGGGCCAAAACTGTTATACAATCATTTTGGGCTGGTTTTTTGGATTTGAAGAAAAGGAAACGAACTTCTAAAAATTTCGAGGGACATTTTAATATGCCAAACCCCCCGCCACCTCACCTCCCCCCATATACAGTAGAAACTTTAATTCTGAAGAAGTGACGACTTCATTGTATTTCAATATGAAATACATATGATTATATTTCTATCTCTATAATTTGTGATATAACTAAATAGATAAACTTAGATTCCATGTGAAAACTACGTTCGGGATTCTAAACCTGGGTGTAGCCAAACACCCTCCCAGAATTGTAAGTATGATTGCCGGAAGTTATAGGATGATCGCGAAGATATTCATGCCTAGGATGTGAAAACTTGATGCAAGGAGGTCAAGTAAATTGTTGCTTTTATGAAGCATAATGTCAATGAGTGTCTCTCTAACACAGTCTCGAATGTAATGTGTTCGAAAGGTCATGTGATTTAAGTCTTTTGACGTGCCAGTACTTTTGTTCAACCTTCGTCGCACTCTAATTGTCGTTTTGTTGAGTTCTTCCTGATGTCGTCACAGCGTTGGCGGAGGGCTACATGGTCGGGTGTACGCCCGCCCGTGGTTTTGTATACAGTTTTCAGGTGAGCATAGATACTGTACGGGAAGCGCAGTGATGGTTTATCGTGGGCCCAGGCGGAGGGGTAAGTGGATTTATGCTTGCCATTGAGTCGTGCTACAGTGATGAATCATCCAGGGCATGAGGAAGCGAACCGTCGTGTACAGTTGACATGGCAATTTCATGAACAAGGACATCCGGCACCAGCAGTTACAGTACAACAGATGAAGAGGTCCGCAAGTTATGACGCACTTTCATGAGCAATAATACGATGAAGAAGGGGTTTCATTCTTTAATGAATATTACCGTACCCCTGGGATCACATACAAAAGGATCTCAGTCCTATGGTGATCACATCCACTGAAGGAAACAAATTCATTTTACACGTGCTTGATGTGGCGTCGGGATACTCTATTTTACGGGCAATACCTGCAAAGGATGCAAAGACAGTGACGGCAGAGTTAGTGTCAGTGTTTGGTGAGCATGGATTTCCTCGTAAGATTCAGAGTATCGAGGGTACCAAACTTGTCAACAGTATTGTCAAATCCATTACACGAGCGTTGGGCATTATACACAAGACGTCCCAACCATACCACCCGCAGACGTTGGGTGCGGCGGAGCGCCGACATAAAGAAATTCACAAATGTGTGCGCGCATTGTGTGTTGGCTGTCCGAAGTTGTGGGATGAATGTTAAACGTTTACTATGTTGTATCAGAACCTTTGGATATCACGATGTCACAAGTCAGCACCATTCAGCGTTTATTTTGGTCGACGTCATGTCCCGTTTGCAAACATGACTGTTGACTTACCTAGTCATATTCCTACCACGAATGATGCCTGTTTTAAGAGGTTAGATAATTTAGAGAAGACTATCCTACCCAAATTTCATTAGAAATCAATCAAGTATACTGATGCCATGGCCGAGACTACGGATCCGATGCGTAAATTTGTTTTGATTGAATTTAAGACGGTGGACATCGTCATGATAATACTCGCACAGGGAGCAACAAACAAAGCCATGAAAACATTGCTTGGTCCGTACGGAATCATAGTCGGGAAAATCAGAGTTACCATCTACGAGCAAAGGATGACAGCAAGCCGCCTGAGCTCAAGACTAATCTATGAATGTGGAGATTATTCGGCTTGTACATTGGGCTACGGAACTATCACTGGATGAATCTCTATGGAGAGAGGGAGGTTCGACATTTCGATACCCGTCGATCATTCTAAGACGACTTATCTGTGGAAGTATATACTGATTACCCGAGTACTTTCCTTATTGCAATATACTTCGACAACTTGATTTGAATTTCTACTGTTTCGGCTTTAAATATTCGACAACAAGCATCTGTCCATTCGGCACGCATTCTATTGTTTGTATCTACTTTCTTTTTGGCCACCGCATAACCCGATCCTGGCCTAAACGGTGGGTACGGGGTTTCATAGATAGAATACATCAGAATGACACTGACCTCCAATCATGAACAGTTCATGTTCTATTGTTGCAATTTGCAACCGCACACAACACCATAGTTATTTATCAATAGAAAGCATAGAAAACTACACATGAAGAAGTATACGTGACATCAGCTAAGTACTCTCTAGAGAAATCAATAAAAGCCATGTAAACTTCCTTTTTGGCGCCCTTTATTAATACTTTGGAGTAAAAAAGTCCCCGAAACAAAAAAATGTATTTAGCTAAAAATAGCAGGAAGAGCCCAGCCCAGGCCCCAGAGGCCAGAGGCCAGAGGCCCAGACTCCAGGAGCGAGCCGTAAACTTTGTAAATTTTGGAAAATCACAATATTACGTTCGGACAATGTCTAATTATCGGACAAACTGGTTACAACACGATGAAATCTGACAGTGACTATTGTGCTTTAAAGATCGAGCAATGATATCTGCCATCTTGAATCATAGATTATGTAAGAATTTATCGTGTTCATAGAAAGTTTTGTCTGATGTCTACTGGACATTCTTTGAATTGTGTGTGTTTCTTTTTTTTTAAATTCAAGGAGTTTACGGCTCGCTCCAGAGGCTCAGAGCCCAGGGCCAGAAGGCAGACGGGCGAAGGGCCGAAGGCCCGAAGCCTGAACTTCCGAAGGCTCCATAAATACATATGCCTTCTGAATTGACCATTTGTTTTGGCGCCAAAAAACAGTGACAAGGGAGATTTAAAAATATGTAAATACATAGCCGTCTATTGTAGAATTAAACAGAAGGCTATGGTAAATATGTAAATATAGCGACTGACAGAAAATTTGAGGAATTGGCTAACGTGTCTATGTACTCTTATCCTTATCGGTTTATTCGGTTAGATATATCTGTTCCAACTGTTACTAGGGTACACCACAATCGTGTGAGATATTAGCGTACAGGACTAAGTTAAAGTGCTCAATTGTAGCAGACAATGATGTCTACAACTTCCGAGGTGGTTTCATCTCTTATTTCCGCACCCGGTATGGAATACACGCATACGGCGCACGAGAATAATCTACCATCGGGTACTGCGAATGCCACCGAAACAAGTATGAAAACTGCCACGGATTCGTTGATGCAGGGAATTCCAACTGGGGACAGGGATGTACAAATTGAGCGTGCCAGCAATGTTGTTGTAGACCAGGGGAACCGCTTCCAGTCAAGAGAAAAAGGCGTACAAAGGCAGTTTGCACAAATCTATTATGCTAGGTTGGAGATGCTAAAACGAAGCGTTAAGGAGCGTGCTTTAAAAGAGTGGGGCGAAGGTGAGCGCTGATTTGTGTGTATACTATCTCATTTTTAAGTGCAGTCTGACTCGCGATTTTTTTTTCTGTTGCGGCTTTGTGCAATTCATTTCCCTGCATGCTTGCTTGCAAATGCTTCAATAGAAATTGTCGATATGTTGAGATCCTATCATCCAAGCGTCTCAGATACATTCATGCGCAGAGCTAAACGCGAGGTATTCCGAAGACTCCATAAGCAAGGAATTCAGGCGCAGGACCTTGAAGTATATTGCGAGTGATAGATTTTCCGCGGCTATATTTTAACGTTACAGAATATTTGAACTTTGTAGTGATGTGCAGAGTGAAGCTTTCTAAGGTGCATGATTCGAAGAGACGATTATCATGAAATTTTCTAGATGGCCTGCATGGAGTATTACAAGCTGTACTACGCTTGGTCAGTTGTGCTCTATATATTTGGGTTGGGTTTCCATACCGGCCTTTGTGTGATATCTTAGATTTTTTCAGAGGCTTGTTCACTTACAATCACCAACGTATTCCTAAAGATCTAGTGTCTTACAACACATACATGCCTCGTATTTCTCTTTCACCGAGCCTATATTGAGAGAAATGCATATCTGCTGCAATACATATTTACAGATGCGAGCACATATCTCGCGTATACGATCGTCGGTGTGCTATATCCTCCTATCTACGGCAGGTTTATATGCGGCAACATATCATTCGCCCATTTTTAACAACGAAATTTTACAAGTCCGCGTTGAGATTTAACGACACATGTTCCCGAACACAAATAATACTAACATTCGTTTGAATCAATTTCTATCGCACTTAGATGCCCCGTTTGTGCAAAGTATTCTCGGCTTGGAGTTGAATAAGAAGGCCTGCATAATTGGTACGATATACAAGGAAATGACGATGAAACCAAATATTCTACGAGATCTCGAGGTGGACGTAAGTTACTCCTACACTCCCGTCGACACCATGCAAGTGATTAATTACACTACCCATTGTAGGCATTGGTTAACATTTCAGGCGTACTTGCCTTTGTATAAGCCGATCTTCATTTGTCTCGTCACTGTTTTGGTTATTTCTTTCGTATGATGTCAAACATGAATATCGAGCCTGATACATTGTATGGCTCCGAAGTGTGACGTTAGCACTTGCGTCATTCGGACATACCTTAACTGCTCCAATATGACCTTTCGCTTCATTGGAAATAAAATAGTCAATTCAAATTAAGAAGTGGCATATTTATTTCCAACCTGGTGAAGCAGAGTCAAGCCGATCGCTCGCACCTCTGAGATCTATGAATGCGAGCGACATAACTGACGGACAACACTCGATCGATTTCAAGTACAGACATAACCAACCCATCTACCGACTGATTTAAACCGATTGTTCATTATCGCCAGACATTCGCTGCTGTACCAGCACCCAAGGACAAGCTCACGGATGCGACAGATAAACTAATTTTAGAAGACCAAGCCGGAAGAATCAATCTGATCGGCAAGAACCTGCCAATTGACGATGTTGTTACTGGTATGTTATTTTGCTGATTCCTCAAAATGAAACACACGTGTCCTTGCTTTTCCTGAATTGAATTTGTCGTATCAATAAACCGGAGGTACTTCAATTTGAAGGTATTTGGTATGCTCATTGGTGTGATACTGTATGTCACCTCGCTGCATCAGTTACTGAATAGTCTCGCGTGAGTGATATAAGGCCTGATTTATTAATGTCCAAATGAGACTGGAAAAGAAGGTCTTTATCTGAAGTCTATATTCTGCCAATTAAAACTTGTATGTCTCCTCATATTCTTGTCTATGGGGGAGTTCACGCAACAGATTCACGCCAACAACACATGTGATGAGACCACTGATAGCAGGATGAGTTAAGTTGGATCTCAACTCTGTCACAGACGATAGTAATCCAGAAAAAAAATCAAAGCCACTGCTGCCCACGTTTTCATTGCTCGCTTCGCGCATACAAGTAGAACATTCTCAACCTGACAGCGGTGAAGGTACATTCCAAATCATTTGGATCGTCTACATTCTGCTAAACGAATTAGGGATGGGTCATTTATGTTCAAATGACTATTAGCAACATATACACCCATAACATCTAAAAGTAGCTGAGTAGTTTATGAAAATTCCGGGAAGATTCATTTGTAAACTTGTTAACGATCTCGTCACGGCGTATACGATAGTCGCCGAAATCGCGTTCTGCAGCTCCGCCGCGCTAGCCTTTCCAAGTTTGAAATCCCAGGCTGTTAGTGTAACGCAACAGCATGTATCTAAAGTGTCCGGATGTGCGACGATGCACGCAAATACGCAATCATGTCACACGAACACGTAGTAATACCGCATTTAAAATCTCATCTGCATTCGTGTTTACGTGTCTACGATAAACTTCAGCATGTATTCATACATGGTATTTTATTTTGCTTTTGTCAACGTTGTTTTTGTCAACGTTCTTTTTGCCAGGTGTTGTCGTGGCCTGCTACGGTATCGAGAATGCAGACGGAGACTTCTTTGTCACGAGCTATTGCTTTGCCGATATGGCACCCCAGAAGATGCGAGGTAGGCACAAACTAGCTGGACATTATGTCTCAAACCCGAGCTAGCTCACATGTACAATTGTATGTGTAAAGCCTGATGTTCAGGTTATCGTAAATAGGTTTGTGGGTAGGTTAGCAGATCACTATGCGCCCGTGTACTCTTGGTATAAAAACTTGGGTTAAAACCAATATTTTAATACTATCTCGCTTTTAGGTCCTTTGCATGTATGTGTACGTGTGTGTGGAGGAACCTATTGTTCATACCTATCTCAGGTGAACTGGTAATCTCATGTGCCTTCACTCACAGCTAGTGCGGCAAGCCAACCAGCATAAGTTATATCGCGATTGTTTTGTTTTGTGATTTGCGTGCTTCTATTTGGGCACACTTTATTCACGAGCTTCTTGATCGCAAGGACAGGCTAGAAACACGCTTCAAATACGAATAGTTTAAGTTATCGCCTAACAATAATATATACTCAATATATGCATGCGAACCGGAAGCCACCCTCGATTTTGAGCACACCAACCATCACCGATTCTTTCTGTACAGGAGCTAGCATCTGTATAACAGTAAATTGTGAGTGCATGATTGATTGGCTACTGTTTGGGAATTAACGAACCAATTCCGCACATTTAATCCTTGCACACAGAGCTGAAACCAGAGCCTGTAGACGGAGATACATATATAGGTCTTGTGTCTGGGTTGAATATCAGTCCGCAGAATAAGAACCTTTTTCCTGTGCAGATGATGGCTGATTACCTCACCGGCAACCTTGGCAACGAGAACGAAAACTCCGTTGTGTCACGAGTCTCGCATTTGATGGTTCTTGGCAATTCTATGGGACCTATGCCAAAGAAATCAGAGATACAAGCTTACGTGGTAAGGTTCTCGACTATATTTCGGCTGTGTTCGTTTATCATAGTATATGTGTAGGGTGTGGGGGTACAGTGCATTTTCATCTTGTCTGGCTGACCAGAAGGAAACTCTATGTCCACTTTTTCTTGAAGGATGCAAATATATCTTCTAGATTATCACGTGTGACGCTAAGCTGTACACCAACACCTCTATAAGATATAAATACACACACGCATACATGTACTGAGACCCACCAACAGTCATGATTCAGATTTACGCTGACACATTACAGAGACCTCTCAATGCACAACTCGGAATTGTTGTCGTTGATCAATAATTGGTCTTAATTTTGAGTTTGAGGGGTTCGTTTTGATTCAATTTCACAGTCGGACAAGAATGCCCGTAACAGCTCTGACGATCAGCACTTTGCATTGAAAGAATTGGACTCTATTTTCTCAGAAATAACGGCAAAGTAAGTGTTTTTCAATCCTATTTCGAGCGCGCTGAAGAACATTCTGTTGAAAATATTGACCATAGTGATACTGAAGTATAAAAGTATTTATAGGAGTCGTATTATTACTTCACGCACTGTCATGTATATGTATATAATCTGTAGTTAGTTCCTAATTTGGAGCAGAGCTAATGATGTCTAATTTTTGGTTGTGAATCCAGCATATGTGATATGAGTAATATGTTCTTAGTGATACTCGAGATGCGTAGGAAACATACCGTTTACTTACACAACACATAACCACCACCATACACCAGTGCAGCACGCGATCATTAGTAATTCTGTCATCCTCTTCTCATCTCTGACAAGATAATGAGCATCAATCTCGTCGGATGTGTATGCGCGAGGCAGAATTAGCACGCCCACATTGCATACTACTACAATATAAAAGTGCTGCCCACCAACATCATATTTCTCCACCTCTAGATCGTTGATACGAACAATGTCTATCGGATGTGTGTCTATGAGGCATATTTAGCATATACTCCCATTCCAGTCTGCAACGATACACTCCTGCAGCACCAAATTTAGTCACCCTGTACTACTTTCGCCATGTATATCTAGTATGTACAAGTTCTTTGGGTAGGCAAGTGTTTGACATCATACCACTTTCTCACACCCCAGATTGCTACTATACACCCCAATAGCACACAAGATAATATACACATTGTCTTTTGTTCCTGGTTAACGATCTCATTACGCACAATTCCTTTGATTGATATATTCGCGGCATTCATACCGCTTACTCACACTACACCACTGCTTCCACGCACTCTCACAGTACACCAATGATAGTTTCCCCGGGTGCGCACGACCCCTCCAACTTCTCACTGCCGCAACTGCCGATGCATGGGGCTCTGTTTCCCAATGCAAGCAGACACACTTCATGGACGTCTGTATCGAATCCGTTGGATGTGAATATCGCCGGGATTGAGTAGGTCGAGTAAGATTTCTCGTGCACTTCGATTCTAAAGCAGTTGACTTATGGATCAATGTATATGGGTTGGTATTCCGTCTACTAACGTGGGAATATCGTGTTGTCGAGGATTACTATTGTACCTAAGCTCTGTATACGCAATTTTTCAAGTTATTTCGAATGGCGTTTAGCCTATTGCTTGTGCGTGATGCTTTTGTGCCCTGGATTGCGAAGATGTATTCTGCTGGTGGCTGCTATCGATCTGTATCCTTGGCGGATATTTTTATCGAAGTGGTATATCAAGCGGTTGCTCATAGTATAGAGTATACCGTCTTTCGACAAGTGTGTTGTGCAGTGGATATTGCATCGTCAAAAGCGGCAATGAGCCTGCATTTTTGATCTGCCTGCACCTTCTACATACAGAGCTTGCACTCATTAAATTTGCAATCGCACATGTACATCAAGAACATTACGTTGTTTTTTGGTGAGGTCAGTAGCATTGAATTATTCAAAATAGTGAAATATCTCTTTTGTAGGTCAGTGTCAAATTGCAAAGTCGGATACTCAAATACATATCCTTTGGTGCTGCATGCTCGTATGTACATTCGACTCTCCATCCAAACTACGTTCTGAGCCAAAATTTCCATCCACACCAGTATCCTGGCCACCTCTGGGCAGCCGTTGAATGATATATACAAATACTGCAACACAACCGATCGGTTGAGTATTATGGAGAACACACTGCGATGGCGGCACATAGCTCCCACAGCGCCCGACACATTGGCCGTATACCCCTTCCAAGGCGTCGATCCGTTCGTGATGGAGAGTACGCCTCATGTGTACCTCGCAGGCAACCAACCGGACTTCGAGGAGAGGATTGTTCGCGGTAAGATTAAGCTGTCTGTCATGTGTGATTGTGTTGCTAGCGGCGCGACAGTGGACTCGAATTGCTTATATACTGATAGTTAATAAAACTTGATATCGAGCCTACGCGAGGGGGCTGTGTGCGTCTGTTTTTCATTACTTTCTGCGTCTGTTGGGAGCCCTTGCCACCTCGCCATTTAGGTGAGTATCTGGGATCTCAATATGTGGGGTTTATCGCCCTTCGAATGTTTATTCAGGTCTTATATGAAAGAAGTCCAGTGCAAATCCTAATCATGAAATGGTTCAATATTCAATATTCAGGGGCCGATGGTCAGGAGGTGCATGTGATAGCCCTGCCAACATTTTCCGTAACGCCTGTGCTGGTGCTCATGAACACGCGGACGTTGCGATGTCATCCTGTATATTTCAGTGGCCCCGACGACGATATTTAAACCCCATATCGTATTAAATATTAGATCAAAATTCTATATATATGCGAAACTGCTGTGGTCTTTCGTGAGAGGCTTGCATAGCCATCCCTGTCAGACTTTGGTAGAGTAGGCGGACATTCCCATAGCGCAAGCGGAAAGAATGTCGTGGAATAGCCCTGTGTACCTGTAGCCTTTGTTTCTGGTGTTCGACTAGACAAAGCAATATCCCGACTGGCATTCACGAGCCGATATCAGTGGCAAGTGTTTATAAACATCAAATATTTAATAGACTATGGTCAGGTATGTCAAACTTATATGATTGATTCGTTACGTCTCCATTTATCAGACTGGAGAATTCATATATATATATATATATATGTATATATTTATATTTATA